TTGTAATGCCACCAAAATAGTACTAGAAAAAGTTAAACTCATTGTGTAAGCTTGTTATTTTTAGGCAGGGATGATTTATGGAGAGTTTCTGTCTAAAATTAGCACCAAGTTAGTACTTAATAAACACATTCATTTCTTACTTAAAAGCATCCTATAATGCAAAAGTCTTAAGAAAGGAGGTGTTAAGTATAACGACTATTTACATCTCAATTAAAAATATTATTCAATCTATCATGTAAAGATACAAAGGAAATAGATACACTTAACAGTATGTTGGCATTAATTCCTTCAAAGCAAAAAACAAAAAACAAAAAACAAACAAACAAACTGCTGTTTCTGTTAGCATCATACAAATGCAATTCTATATTAATTACTTACGAACATTGACTTTTAAGGTTGAAAGTTGCAATATCCTCTGTAGATAACAATGGTTCTAAGCTTTTGCTTAATCTTTCAGTTTTGAAGAAATTTGTACAATGAAAGTTAGGTTTGAGTCTTTATTTTGTTGATGATAGTTTCCCTTTGTTTAGGATTTATTTTCTTTTATTCTTGTGCAAAATTAAAAAAAAAATTTCTGCTTCTTAAGATGGTTGATAGAAATAAAATAACTTCATTAGTCATTAAGTAGACATCCTTCATTCCATATTTTTATGGAAAAGATATCAGGGATGAGAATTCCATGAATTATTTTTGTGACTGGTAATATTCAATGACGTGAATCAATGAAAGTTGCAAGCACTTACATTCTGACAAAAAACCACATTTTTTTCCAAAGGAGTTCTTCCTGCAACGAACTCTCTGCAAGAGTTCTCTGGGGAGACTTTTAGAAGTTTGTTTTAGAAGTAAGTTAAAGTATCTTTTTTGCTTCTTTCCGTAACATGTATCTCTTTTGAAAATGCCCTAAACCAGGAGCATTATAAAATCAGCATGAAGGAATTATGGAGTAAAAGAGGATGTGAAGAATATCAGCAATGCTCAGAAAATGAAATAATCACGGCTTTGATTTGGATCAAATCTTTAAATGAGCTGTTTGGTAAACCACATACTTCCATCACCAGCTCAATGGAGTTTTATTCCTGAACAAAAAATTAAGACAAAACTTTTCCTATCACATGCTCACCTGGGACTTGGCCTCTAAAGCATTAGAAGAGCTTTGCACCAAGCCAAGAAATCATTAAAAAGCTAATGATCATATATGATCTCTAAGGAATAAGTAAAGAGAGGTGACAATTTTCTGAGTCACCACTATTTGTAAATACCTTGTCCATCTGAAATATGGATTCCAAGAAATATCCAGAAGACATAGTTTGAAGAGGTATAAGATGCAGAGCGTTACCAAAAGTGCAGAGATGAAACTGAGAAACATTTCAAATGTTACTGTTGATAGTTTGGAGGATACTGTGGTGTTTGTTATGTGGAGACCAGGTGAGGGAAATGCTGAGGTATAGAATGTATAAAGTTAGGAGAATTTTAAAATGACCTTATAGAAACGCTGTTTTCTTTTTTGGTATCACTGAGTCAAATCCCACTCATAATACCCCAATGTGTCAGAATAGTACTGCTCCATATTATTTTCTAGGCTATATTCATTTGGGACTCACCAACAGGTCTTCGGAAACCCTATACATGGTAGCTATGAGTTGGAACCCACTTGATGCCCTTAACAACAATAACAATCTTTGAGACAGAGCACCATGTCTATCTTCTGCAAAGCCACTGACTGTGTTTGAATAACCAAACTTTTGGTTAGCACAAGTATTTTAATTGTTGCACTAGCAGGTTTCCCTATCATGCTAGAATTCTTTTCATATGAAGGAAGAGAGCAATAATTATTATTATTTATGTCGATTGAAATGCTTCAGTGGAAAATGTGACTTTCCAATTTATGAGACTAGTATTTCTTTTCTTTTCTTTCCAACATTTTGATGTTTTTATTAATAAAGGTTTCTGTGATTTTATAGTAACATTTTACTTATCCTTATAAATACTAGATTAAGTCCTTATGTGGCACTGTAGGATAATGCACTGGACTGCCAGATCAGTTTGAGGTCTGTGAGGGAACTTCAAAAAGTTTGTGGAAACATTCCATTATCTTTTCATTCTTTTTTCCCATGTATTTTTTTTTTTTAAAGCTTTTTTTGTGTGTGTGTGTGTGTGTGAATTGAGTGAAAGTTTACAGGGCAGATTATCAGTTTTACATTCAACAAATCATATACTTTGTTTCATAACAATGATTATAATCCCCTCCCTGTACTATCAATTAACCATATTTCTCTCTATTCATTTTAGCTCTCTCTCTCTCTCTCTTTTTTTTTTTTTTTAACACTCAGGCATATATAATAATTTAAACCACCCACGGGCACATTCTGCACGTCTGCTTCCTAGCCACCAGCCCTCAGTTCCTCTCTTTCCAGGAATCTAGAGTCCTCAGCTGCTCTCTCTCTCCATGTCCCTGTCTTTGTCTCCATCTATGGTGTCACTGCTTCTTTGGATAAGGTCTTGCATTCTGCTTGTGCTATTCTCCCTGGATGGTCCTAGGGTCCTCTGTTTCTGGACAGTAAGATCAACTACTCCCTTGTTTTTGTTACAAAACTTCTACATTTACAATTGTGACAGTTGCAATTAGGCATGATAACAATTACTCACTATTGAATCATAAGAATCTTATTCCCATCTCTTTTCACCAGACACATCTTTGTTGTTGTTATTAGGTGTTATCGAGTCATCACCGACTCATAGCAACCTTATGCACAGCAGAAAGAAACAATGTCCGATCCTGGGCCAACCTCACTACTGTTGCCACACTTGAATCCATCGATGCTGCTACCTGGCCAATCCATCTCACTGGGGGTCTTCCTTTTTTTCTCTGACCCTCCATCTTACCAAACATGATATCCTTCTCGAGCGACTGTTCCCTCCTGACAATATGTCCAAAGTATGAGAGACGAAGTTTGGCCATCTTGGCCTCTAAGGAGCACTCTGGCTACACTTCTTCTGAAACAGATCTATTGGTTCTTTTGGCAGCCTGTGGCACTTGTAGTATTCTCCTCCAACACTGTAACTGAAAGGTATCAATTCATAACTCAAGATCAATCTAGACAAGTTAAAAACTATTCATTGGGGACCCTATCATTCCCTACACACTCTTAAACTAAACTCCCTCTTGCAACCTTGTAAGCCAGTCATTTTGTGCCTTTATCACCCCCTCATTTTATGTACCCAATGTCTAAGTTGCCCATCCTTGTCTACCCTGTGTACAGAGGGGATAGCATTGATACTTGGTGTTGATACCTCTCTGTTGGTATTTAGAGTTACTGTGTCTATGAGTATAGGTCAAGTTCATCAAATTGTAGCAATTCACTCTAAAAATTTTTGGTTTTTATTTGTATCGTCCTCAAGTCAAGTTCTGATTATCAAGCTATCAAGGCTAGGTCAAATGGTCAAATTTATTTTCATTGATAAATGTAACTTTTATTTGAGAAGACAAGAAAGAAGGAAAAGGTTAAAATGGATGTCAGAAGAGACAGTGAAACTTGCTGTACAGCCTAGAGATGCTAAAGTAAATGGAAGAAATGAAGAGGTCCAAGAGCTGAACAGAAAACTTCAAAGATCAGCTCAAGAAGATAAAACCAAATATTACAATAAAATGTGCAAAAATCTGGAATCAGAAAACCAAAAAGTAAGAACACGCTCAGCATTTCTCAAGCTGCTAACAATTACTCACAATTGAACCCTAAAATCCTATCAGCATCATTCCCCACCCTTTTTCACCAGACCAGTCTGGGAAACAGGAAAACTACTCAGTGAGTATTCTGTCTTATTCCCCTATTTCTAAAACTAAGCACATCCATGAAAACTTGTAAGCCCACTACTTCATGCTTTTATAGCCACCCATATTTCTGATAGCCAATGTCCAAATTGCTTGTCCTTATCAACCCAGTACACTGAGGAGACAAGCATGTTCCTTGATATAAAGAATCTTTCATTCTGGTTGGAATTTTGAGCAACTGTGTTCATAAGCAAAAGTCCAGATCATCAAATTGATACTTGTTCACAGTAGCAAACATCTTTGTCTTCATCTGATCGGGTTCTGGTAAGCTCAGCCCTAGTCATCCAAGCTAAGTCATGCGAGTACAAGCTGCAAGTTTCTGAGTTCACTGATATCTCCCTGCACTCCAGACTAGCTGGCCTCCTCACTCTGGGTCCTATCTGCCAGGTACTAAGTCAGTGCTAACAGGCTCAGGAATTCACACAACTCCCTAAATTTCAGAGTAGCCAGGCTTTCACTTCTCTTTCTCATCTCAAGTCAACAAGTGCCAGTGTAACATGTCCAAACTCAGCCTGTGACTTCAATGTTGTATTTCTCCCACTTCCACTTACAAGTAGACCCAAGTGGTCACCAGAAAGCATACTAGACTACTTACAGAGTCCTCTTAACTTTCAGTCTGAGAAAGGGGTTTTCCCTGATGAGCAGTCTCTTTTTTTTTTTTTTACCAGTATGTCCAGTATTCTTTTGT